TCCCTAGCCTTCAGTGCCATCAATAGGACAAAGTAATTTTTTGAGTAAATCTTTAATATTTACTACTTTCATTGTTACATTTTCTCATAGTGCTATCAAATATAAAGCTTTAAGAACAAAAAATTCTATGATCAAAAAATGAAAAATTGGAACAACTGGTGACTTTTCTTGAAAAATTGTTTTAAGTGAAATTAGTTTATTGAAATTTATTTCTAATTATAATAAGAATATAAAATTGAATAATTTCTTTTTGTTTCTTATTGAGCTTTTTATTTTCCATGGATCTAGAACAAAATAACTGTATTTACAAAGGGTGTTTATTAGATTATATGTATAATAGAAGTATTTTTTTGTTGTTATAAAATTAGTTGTACACCTTGTCTGCTATTTAAGGTGCTTTTGTTTGTGGTTTAGTTGTTGGAGTCAATTACAGTGTTAATTCTGTATAACTGGATTCTTCTTAACAGTTTGAAGGAAACTTGAAGATCTAGTAATGATAAAATTGACCCTAGTGGTTTTTACTGCAGGCACTCAGTGGTTTTCTCGTTTTGTGAAAATATAAACTTAAAAGTTGTTATTCTACTTTCCTTGTTCTTTGTCCTTTTATTGGAATTCATATTTAGTTTGCAAATATGTGACATGAGCCAAGATGTCAAACTTTCACAAGAAGTAATGAATTTGCATACTTTAATGATAGACTCATTATGTCTGTTTCTCTATTGAAGTAATGTGAAAACTGGTGCGTACAGCAAATGAGTGATGGCAAATGGAGCCCTTGGTGTCACTCTTTTCTTAAGTTAGTCTGTTTAGTCTATGCCAACAAAAATACTTGAACTTTAATTTGTTCTTGTTTTACTGAAGCTGTAATCTTAAAATTGATGTTTGCAAATTGGCTGCCATTAAATAAGCTTTCTGGTAAAGATGAGCTACTGGAAATCTTAGACAGCCTGAAAAGAATACATTGTGTATTGACAAGCTGTTCTTAAGCCCCACAAGAAGTAAACTAAGGCATCACTTAAATGAATGTGAATTCTTAAAAGCCCAATTTAGAGATTATTTTTTGAATCTTAGATAAACCTGCCACCATTATACTAATTGGCATCATTTTGATATTTATAATTTTATCATGTTCATTTATCCTATTGTACTCTCTATTACAAAAAACAAAATGAAACATGAAAGTATATATCTAATTAACAATAGAGAAAAACTGTGAAAGATTTGTTTTCAGCAGTTCAGATTTTGTGGGGATAGACCAGTGAGCTGAATCTCAGCTTTATAAATGTTCCTCTGTTCTTGGGCCTAGCTAGACAACCTTAGGGGCAATAGGACTTCAGGATTGTCCTTTTTCTTTTCATTATCTAAACACATATGATAATGTAGTTTTAGTCAGTTTGTTCATTTTAAAACTCCATGTTAGGTTTTGCAGATTTTACACTTATTCGCATTCTCATATCTTTTTTTTTTTGCGGGGGTTGGGGGGCGGTTATAGAAAAACCACACTTTTTTTTTTTTTAAGTTGTATGGTATTTTAGCTTTGATTACCGAGAGAAATTTAATATTTGATTCTAGAGAAGTGAATTCAGTAACTGGAGAAAAATTTAAGTTTATAATAATTTTGGGTTTCTTAAGCTAAGAATGTTTATCAGCTTAAAATGACAGTAGCGGCTTGAATGTTATTATGCAAAATTGTGGTAATGGGAAGTCTAACCAGTTTGTAGAAAGAGTATTATACAAAAACTTCAACAGGTTGACATTGTAATGAGTGCAAATGACTAATTGCTTTGGAAAACGAATGAAATTTAGAACAAAATCCATGTGCAGTTGGGGAAACTATCTTCTAAGTATGAATATACCTTTTTTTTTAAAAAAAAAAAACAACAAATACCAGTTATTTTTGTCTTTTTTAACTTCCTCAGTAACATGATATTCAAATTTCATATTACAGTATAGCCAAATTGTAGCCCTAGAAATTATTGAGTAGAAAGGTTTTCAATTGAATTACAAGTGAATATTAAATGGTAATTGCACACAGAAATGTGTTGCTGCATTTCACTAACATAAATATTTTTTTGTTATGTTCATGTTGAGGATTTTCACTGAGCTTTCTCAAATGACTCTTATTGGTAGAAATACCTGCTTTCTTTCATAGTTGTGAGGACAAATCACCTTCAGAATACTTGTGAATTTATTTCTACTTAGTTTTACAAAAGAATGCCTTTTAATATACTAAGCAAATAAAATAGGAACATTTTAAGGCCTGTGGAGAGAGGTTACTAAAATCGAAACGTCAAGTAATTTTATTGAGGATGACATAGTGCTTATTAATGATTAAATGTAAGACTTTTTTGAGTCTTACATTTTTTGAATTTCTTTTCTGTTGTTGGGGTTAGAAATTTTGCACTCATGTCGCAATATTCTGCTCTGTCTGTCTGAAGGTATTAAGCATTTTTCAAGTTTAGGAATTGTGTGTGGGGGTTTATGAGACAGAGAAATTGTGGAAAATCAGCTTGAGCAAAAGACCTCATCTCCAGTAAGAACTACAAGGAAGCAACTAAGATTTCTTAAAGTGCATAAAGAATGAGAGTGAACTTTACTTCTTTCTGAAGTCACCTTGCTGTTTCCTTTCAGGGAAGAGATTTAGGGGTGTTACTAAAGTCATCGACATGGATGATTAAATTCTAATGCAGTCGATGGAGCTCTCAAAACTTCTCATTTATAATTTGCTTTCTCTGGTCATTGTCTTTTGAACCCTTAGTTTCATCTGATGCTAGAGTTCCTCTGCTTATCTTTGAGAAAGTTTCCGTAATCACAGTGTTACAGGAATGTCTTTTTCCTTGCTACTTTCCTGCATTATGTTTGTAATCTTTTTTATACCTAGAATATTAAGACAAGGTGATATTCCTAACATAATCAGGGGTTGATGAATAGCCAGCTGCTTTTTGGAGTTTTACTTGTTCTGCCACAAATCATCTTAGCTAGGGGCTGCAGCAAGAAAAGTTATTAAAGGATGCCTTATTTAATCACAGGACAACCAAATGTATTTTAGTAGCTACTGCCTATTAATTTTGGTTGTCTTTCACAGGATGGCAGCAAATAGTGCTAACCAGATATATCTGTATATTTATCAAACAGGCCGTACCTCTTTGTGTTTATGATTAGCACCTGCCACAAGAAAAGATTGGTATTCTCCTATACCTCTTTTACTTTTTGAGTTGTATTAGAGGGCTGTCCTTAAGATGTGTAGATTATTAGTACAGTACATTCATAACATGCCCATATCTGTTAAGGCTATTTGTGCCTCACATTCCTCTCTTCCAGTCTAGTTCAGGTTAAAAACAAACAAACAACTTTTTTTCTTCTTATTTCTTAAACTTTTGGTCATTTTCAATGTTGTTCAAAATTATCAGCACATTTTCAGTATTTTCTCTCAGATGAAAATAAAAGAACTTACTATTGTTAGGTAGTTGTAGGAGGATTAGCTTGCAGTTTTATTTGTAAAACTCAATTTTTATTTATATGCCTTGCAAAATTTTTGCTTTGTAAAATAGACCCATATTGTTGGTTCCTAGTTACTTTAGTAAATTCACTGGGTACTTTAGAAACCTTTTAGGGGTACTTTAACAAAACATGCTGCTCTTTTTAATTTTAGGTTAACAGAAAGTAAAGCATTTTAAAAGGAGAGTAGTTTGTGAAAGCAGGATGTTAAATGAGTTTTGAAAATGGAAGATGTGGGGGAACATTCATCTATGAATTGAGAACTCTATGGGAAAAGGCAAGAGGCCATAAATAATGTCACTATATATAAAGAAACATGAAAAGTTTTGATGGTCTAGAATTGGTGAGGATAACTAGAGAGAGGAGAAATTAGATATGCTATTCCCCCCCGGCTTCCCCCAAAAGGCAACAAAATAAGTCATCTTTTTCATTTCCTTCTGGACTAGTACTCTAGATTTTGTGTATGTGGTATGCATCCATACAGGGAAATGGATGAAATGACATCTTGTTCATCAAGATTGTATAGATTTTTGTACACTCATGTTCATAGCAGCATTATTCACAGAAGCTAAAATGTGGAAGCTACCCAGTGTCCATCAATAGATGAATAGAAAAGGAAAATGTGGTATATGCATAAAATGTAATATTATTCAGCCTTGAAAAAAAAAATTCTGACATATTCTGCAACATGAATGAACCAAGAAAGAGGACATTATTCTAAGTGAAATAAGCCGGTCACAAAAAGAGAAATACTGTATGATTCCTCTTATGTGAGGCACTCAGAGTAGTCAGCCTCATGGAGACCGAAAGTAGAATGGTAGTTGCCAGGAACATGGTAGAATGGGGAGTTGTTTAATAGGTATAGAGTTTCAATTTTAGGAAGTGAAAAGAGTTATGGACGGTGGCGATGGTTGGACATTCTGAATGTATTTAATACCATTGAACTATACACTTAAAATGATTAAGATCGTAAGTTTTATGTTATATATA